GTTTACACATGGTAGTGTAGAATTACAATTCTAGGTTAAATTACTACGTATAACGATGTAAATTTACCACATCGAACGTTGTATTCTTGCTGAGTGAAATAACACGACGCATGTTAAAATGCAATATCTCTTTTTACAGTGTAGAGAAAAACGTGTCAGAAAAAGTTAACCCCTACACGGGGTGCTTGAACGAACTTTAAATGTCGACTTTTTTTACTTCGGATTTTTTTCTTGCATTCGATTCAGGAGCTTAAACATAGTGTGCAAAATAATTTTTAACGAAATTCATCGAGCCGTTTTTAAAAAAGATATTTTTTATGTTAGAAACCAATTTTTTAGCAATTACATATAATAAACAGGTAATATTTCGATTAATTCAATTAATTCAAAGCTACCGATGTTGCGGTAATTAAAGTACATAATAAACAAAAGAAAAATATAAAATTTAATGTATAACATTGTTTGTTAAAAAATGTTAATTTTTTAATAACTTATGATATGTAAACATTAGTTTTCATTCTATTTAAAGAATAAAATCTATAATTTTATTAATCTACCTATTTTCTTAACCAATTAATCGGCATAATATATTTTTGATTTTTGAAAAACTTTTTTTTTAATACAAAAAATAACTTTTTTTAAAAAACTGCTCGACGAATTTTGCTAAAAATTATTTTACACACTATTTTTAAGTTCACACGAAAACTACATATTCAAGAAACAAACTGTCTAAATTTAAAGTTAATTGGTTGAATAGTTTTAAATAAAAGTGTGAGAAAGTTGAAAATATAGGTAGGGGAGGATGGGGTAAGGATAGTTAGGTAAGACATTTTTGGATCTAGTAGCTAAAATTCAAAAGGCATCAGAAAAAGAATAGTATCGTTCGAAAGCCTGTTTATTTAGCTACAATTTTGTAATACATTATTTTGCTGTGGATTGCAATGCCTTCGAGATATTTTTTTTTTGCTTAGGGACTATTGGGAAATCTGTATACAGATACCTTGGCTTCCGCATGCCAAGGTTATGTGGGGTTGGTAAAAAAAAAGAGAACACTAAACAAAATAAGCTGGCGAACTACTACCAGCCCCGACCCACTAAAACCCGTCAACCCTTCTTGGGAGCCCTTTGATCCACCCTCGGTACTGTCGTGAAGACTTTTGCCTTTGAGGGTGGCGCTCCAACTCTGTCACAAAAGCGACTTCGTCCATTCTTACGGACATCCGGCGTCATTCGTAATAAAATAGTAAAAAACGAAAATCGTAGTCCAGGCGGAACCAACAGCACACCAGAAAAGAAAATTATAAGTCAGTAAATAAAAAAACAAAATATAAAATAAATGAGTCAAAATAAAATTGTAAAAAGACAAATACTAAATTTAAACACATAAAATATAAATAAAACTGTTAAAAGACGGACGGATATATAAGACAAGAATATTAAAATTGTAAAAAGACAATACAAAACAAATGATTATAAAATTGTAAAAGGACAGTAAAAGACAAGTAAACACAAAATTGTAGAAACAAGAAAAAAGACAAAATAAATAATGAAGTCAATAAATAAAAAATAAATAATAAATAAATAAATAAAATAAGTAAATAAAAAATAAAAACTCTATGCTGTTAATTACGCCTTTCTGCGGCCATCGAGATCCTTTCTCATCATAACAGAGATGATAAAGGTCTCGATGAGCCGCCAGTTTTCCTGGGACTGGATCATCAGCGCTACCATGTTCTCCGGTGTAACTGTAGCGTTTACACCGATGAACATGGCCTGCCTCTCCAAGTCCCATCGACTGCAGGCGAAGAGGGTGTGCTCTGCGTTGTCCACAGGGAACTGGCAGTAAGCACACTCCTCGCTATCTATCTTCTTAAAGCGCTGCAGGTACGAGTTAAAACACCCGTGACCTGTCAGCGCTTGCGTCAAATAATAGGAAACTTCACCATGTTTCCTACTTAGCCAGGTGTCGAGTGTCGGTATAAGGCGATAAGTCCATCGACCTTTTACCTCCCCATCCCATCTCTCCTGCCATTTTTCTATGAGCCTGCGCCTCGCTTCAAAGCGGATGCGGTCCTTGCTGGGTAGATCTTCCTCTTCAAAGGAATTCGCCTCTTTGAGAAGGAGGATAATTTCCTCCCTCTCAAGCGCCAAAAGATCTGCTGGCGGGACACTTGCAAGGACCTGCACAGCGCTCGTAGATACTGTCCGATAAGCAGAGGCAATACGTGAAGTAATGCATCTCTGCGCGGACAGCATCTTTTTACAGATGGTTGAACATCTGTTTGTTCTCAGGGAGGGGGCCCACGCTGGTGCTGCGTAAAGCAGCTTAGCGTCGGCGGCACTCGCCACCAGTCTCCTTTTCTTCTCACGGGGGCCTCCAACATTTGGCATCACCCGTGCTAAATTAGCCGCACATTCGATCGCCATGTTCGACGCCGTAGCCATGTGGTGATGGAAGTTTAACCTTCCATCCAGTTCCACACCGAGGTACTTTATCTGTCTCCTCCACTTGACCTCGAATTCGTCTATCACGATTCGTGGGGATTTATAACCACGTCTGTCTGTGACCAGCAATGCTTCGGTCTTTTCGAGGGCCATTTGAAGACCTCTGGTTTCCAGCCAGCATTTTGCTAGCCGCAGACATTCGTTCACCAATGTCCCCAGAGCTTCCGCCGAGTCGGCAGCGCACACGATCAACGCGTCGTCCGCAAAGCCGACGATCACCGCACCTTCGGGCAGGTTCATTCTCAGGAAGTCATCGTAAGATACATTCCATAAAAATGGTCCTACCCTCGAGCCTTGAGGGGCCCCACGCTGCATCTCTTCCTTGAGAATGCAGGTGTCTCCCTCGTAAATAACCCACCTGTCGCTTAGATAATTATCCATTATCCGCAACAGGTAGGGCGGTATACCCTTCTGTATCATCGACTCGATGAGATCTTCCCATCTCGCGGAATTAAACGCGTTCCGTATGTCTATTGCTACCAACGCGCAGAAGCTCTTCTTTTTATCTGGTCCCAATTTGTTTTTCCCTTTTCTGGCGAGGTCCACAACTGCCTTTACGGCATCAACTGTGGACCGACCTTTGCGGAATCCAAATTGGTTATCGGATAGACTATTGTCTCCGGTCAAGTGAGATTGCATTCTCTGCAGAACCATGTACTCTAGAAGTTTGCCCATCGTATCCAACAGGCATATAGGCCTGTAGGATGAGACCTTATCTAGAGGTTTGTCTCCCTTTCTTAGGAGGACCAGACTTTGCCTCTTCCAGTCTAGAAAGAACTCTCCTCTCTCTAGGCAGCGATTGAAGATGTCCAGCAAAATCTGGGGGAAGCAACAATCACCTCTTTTAGGATCTTGTTGATTATCCCATCGATTCCAGGCGCCTTGCCTGTCTTCAATCTTCTACCTGCTGCTTCCAATTCTTCAAGAGTAAAGAGTTCTTCCTCTGTGACTATGCAAGAACTCCAGTCCTTCCTAAGCCACGGCTCTGCAGGAGGAAACAGGGCTTTTATTACCTTTCTGACCCAATTGGGATTGTCCAGGCCGGGGGTCTTTTGCCTCGTTACTAATTTCTTAGTAACGATTTTAAAAGTCAGACCCCATGGGTCCTTCTCGACGTCCTCGATTAGGTCCTTCCAGCTACGGCGTCGCGACGCACGGATCTCTTTGCTGAGGTTCTTTTTGGCCTCCTTGTATGCTTCCTTGAGCAAAGGATCTCCCTTAGATCGGGTATATGTCCTTCTTGCTCTGAAACATGCCTTTCGCAAGGAGGCCAACCTTTCTGACCACCAGTGCAAGGATTTCCTTCTGGAAGAGGTGCCTTTGCGACGCGGCATTGATACATCACAAGCGTTGATGATAATGTTCCTCACCGCTCGGACCTCTTTCTCCAGATTGTTCGTCCTCTTCACCCAGCCCAAGTCTTTAATGAGACAGGCTTCTTCAAGGGACCGGTCGAACTTCTCCTTGTCGAGTCTCTTAGTGTTCCACGAGGGGCTTTTTCGACTAGGGGACTAGGCTATTAGCGGAAAATTAAAAAAAAATTTAACTATCCTTGCTCCACTATTGGGGCAAGGATAGTTATCAAAATTGTTTTTACGAAAAATAATCAAAAAAAGACATTAAATTTGGGGGTTTTTTAATTTCATTGGATAAAAGCACCTCAAAGCACTACCAAAAAAATTTTTTGGACATAAATAAATATTTAAAACAGTTAATATCTGAAACAGTGTTTTAAACAGAACTGAGACATTTTAGAAAAAACAGGATTTTTACAAATAAACACGTAGCTTCCACAAATGATATCGCATCAAGATCAAATTTTTCTTGACGTCTTTTGGTGTTAAAACAAGTATATATGATGAATGGTGCCCTTTTTGAACAAGCAGTGTAGGCAATAGAGCCACTAACTATCCTTGCCCCTTAACTATCCTTGCCCCATCCTCCCCTATACAGTTTCGAGAAAAACACGCTTAAAGATTTTAAGTAGAAATTAAAGAAAACAGTGATTCTTACTCAATCGGCGATTACAGCTTCGTCCATAGTTCATTCTTTGGATTGTAAAAGATCAAGTGATCTAATGCCAGTCAAGTAGCAGTGAATACCTCTAGTTAACGCACTCGACGACTTGTTGTATGTAGCTACTCATTTTATATCAGGTTAAGACCTTGGAAATACTTTAGAATAATTTTACCATGTTCTTAAATAGTTATACTAACCAAAAATAAAAAAAAAAAAATTCGATTTTTTGAAAAAAAAATCACTGTAATCTCCCCTTAACTTACAAATATAAAAATTATATTCATGTGTTTACCATAAAATTTATTGTGTCATGATTTTTTAATCATTAAAATTTTTTACATACTGGGTTAATTCCGGTGACAAAATCTTGAACTTAAACCACTCTGACTAATACTAGATTAAACCATAATTTTAAAAATAATTTTCATACTTATTATACTTTCTAAAATTTTTATTAATTTTATTATGTTTTACAGCCTGCAAACGATTAAGGAACGCTGATTTAGAGAAAAAGATGGTGTGGACAAGGAGAAAAATTTGCCAAGTAAAAGTCAAATCGTATTTGTACATTTGTTTTTCAAACTAAAATATAATTGTAAGAAAATAAATTTCACTTGTTGTGGACAAACATGCGATTTGTTAAGTAAACTTGAGATCATATTTATAACTTTATTTTTCATTACAAAATCTAAATGTAAGAAAGAATAATTATACCTTTAAATTTTAAAAACACTTAATTAAGTGACAAATGTACAACACAATCATTTATTCAGTTGCCACATATATTGCAAGTTTTATTACTGAAATTATTTATAACTTCTTTTTATTTAATTTTGTATATGTAAGAAGATAAATTCAAATAGAATATCCTTTCTAAAATATTACTCTCTAAATGTGAATCAGTGAAATTTCACTGCTGAACCAGTGATAAGTATACCACTGGTTTCATTCAGTGAAAATTTCACTGGAAACCAGTGTATTTTCACTGATTGACAGTGAAAATCTCACTGATTGAATTAGTGAAATCTGTTTTATCGACAGAGTTTACTGATTCAATCAGTGAGGTTTTCAGTGTCAATCAGTGATAATACACTGGTTTACAGTGAAATTTTCACTAAATGAAACCAGTGGTATACTTATAACTGGTTCACCAGTGAAATTCAACTGATTCAAATTTAGAGAGTACTTTGTCAACTGAGTTGCCATAATAATTTTCGTAATAAGATATTTAATAACTGTTTTTGGAAACTTGAAAGGGTTTTTTCTTTTGACAAAATACTTTTAGATTTATCTTTATTTGTCAAAATTTCTTTTAAAATATTTGTAATTAAATAGAATAAAATTAATTTTTTTAATTAAACGTTTTATTCATTACTATGTGATTTAACAATGTTATTTTAATATATATATATAATACAAATCTACTATCGAAAAAAAGAAAATGACACAAAATGTACATTTTTCCTATTATTATTAATAGTAATAGTATTTACTTTTAGATAAATATATGTATAAATTTATCAATCATCTCATCAATTCATACATATATTTATCTAAATTTTTTTACCAACCCAGTCGAAAATCGTAAGTTTCCCTGAAGGGTTCACATGGCCTTCAGGTAACTGTTATGAAGGTTTCAAAAGCTTCATGGCAACTATTTATACAATAGACCTAAAATTCTGTGATATTTGCTTTCTGACTTCTTAACGGGAAGCTTTTTCTACAGCTTGTTGAATATCTGTGGACAGCTTCTAGCAAATGTCTACCAGTTTGCTTGGTGAATGCTTTCCTAATGCCTGGTTTAATGTGTAAGAAAGCAATTCTATTTGCTTTTCACAAGTTGCAAATTAATATGTAATTTAATTACCTTTTTTACACTTCCTGAAAACTAGAATAATTTCATTAAATTAAACTAAATCGAAAAATCATAAAAATTCTATAGTAATTTGTAAATCCGTTTTATACAATTAATAATTATTCTTTATATATTATATAAAAATTATTTTTCAAAGAAAACGTTTATTTTTAAACACTTAAATTATATTCGAAAAAAATTATATATAACTTGAGCAAAATTTGGGGTTAGGAATACGAACACGGTGAAAACCTTTTATATTGAATAATGAAAACAATTTCTTAAAAAAAGACAAAATATTTAATATTTAAAAAAAAAGATTATTATTTTTATACTGGATATTTATGAATATTTTTTATAAATAATATATTCTTTATTCTTTTAGAATTTCATAATTTATGAAAATGAATTTAACAGCGTATTAAATTATTAATCAATATTAATTGTGTAATTTCACTATAGAAAATTAATTGACAACTAACTTTTAATTGAAAGAAGATAATAATTAATTTAAAAAAAAGTTTATAATATCACTAATAGATATTTTATAAAACAATTGTACCCTTTTAAAAAGACTGTGGAAATACCGAGTCTGACGTAAATAATTTTTCTTTAATTCTTCAATATTTAAATATAATAATCTAATACATAATATTTTTACGAGATAAATAAAGATGGAAAGAAAGGTTAAAATTAATTTTTGATCATTGTCATTTTTCCGCTGTTTCCTGAAACATCCATGACGCTTCATTTAATTTTCGCCACCTGAACGCTTTCTTTTTATATATGCAAAATCCTGTAACTCTTTGATAACTCTCTCAAAGCTACTTGAATGCTTTGTTTAAAACGTACAAAATTTGTTATTTTCAAGCTTTCCGTGGAAGCGAAAAATCGGCCATAACAGGCTTCCTGAAAGTTTTCTATAGCTAGTTATCTACTGTCTCACAATTCTCTAATGGTTATCTCAATACTTCAAAACAACTATTTGTTCAGCTTAACATAGCCTAGGATTTTCGACTGGGAAGTGATAAATTCCAATACATAATATAGTATTTACTTTTGTTATTTAACAATAATATAGTACTTAATAATTAAATATAATAATAAATATTTAAATAAATAAAAGAGTTGTGTTCTTGAACACCATATATTGCTTAATGCGTGGACAACTGTTTTATGTATTTATTATATTTTAAATTATGTTTAATTGTTAAGTACTATCTTATTGTACATAAATTACAAAAATAAATATTGTTGATTAATTTTTACGAGGCCTGTAAACGGAAAACGGGGTTTGTTAAAAATTTTTAAAGAAATTTATTGTTTAAGGACAATACGTTTCGACAGTATATACTGTCCTTTTAAGGTCCAATGACTTCTTTAAATTAAAATTAAAAATTGATAAATACGAATATAAATAACATTTTCCTTTAATGAAAATGTTTTTTTTTTAAATCGATTAACAAGAAACTTTAATTGAGGGTGTGGATGCTATAAGGGGATACGCTCGGATTCTCGCGGAGAAGTATTGTCCAATAGGTGAATTTTTTGAAGTTTTTCAAATTGCAATTATGACAATTGTTTCTTGTAGAGAATAAAATTCTACATCTTTTTTCTTCTATAAAATTTTTTCCATTCTTTGTTCTTTTCATGATAATGAGCAAAAACTACATTTACAAAAATCAAAGAATTTCAATGTTTTATTACTTCAACTCGTGATTGCTCAGTTAATTTTGGGTATTTTTTGAAAAACCAAAATGGAAATTAAAGCTTAGAACATCCTGAAAACAAAATGAGCAAAAAAAAGACAATATTATTAATACCAAAAACAATAATAATTTTTTTTCAAAACAATGTAAAAAATATGGTTTGACGTTTTCAAGCGCTAGGACTATCTGAAAATTTTCAATTTCAATATATTTTTAAGACATTATTATTTTCTAACGTAAATCTTGTTTGTATACAAACAAGTTTGACCTTGAGAAACTATTGCAATATAATTATACAAAGTGGCGGTATTCAGAACATGCTAAATTCATATAAAAACGGCATTTATTTCGTATTGATATTTTAAATTAAAACATTTATTAAGTGATGTGAAATTAGAAATGAATAATCAACAACATGCAAGAGGTAGGAAGCGAAAAAGGAGCGAAGATAAATGGGAAAGAAATGTTCGTAAAGAAAATAAAAATAAGGTAAAATATAACTAACAATAATAAAATAATAATGAAAATTAAGATCACAATACATTGTATAAAATAATCTTTAATTATTTTTAAAAATTGTTTTAAAAATTGTATTTAACTTTTTTTTATTTGTGTTTTATTTTGTGTCACTTTTTTCGAGATCTTTTATTAAAATAAAAGTTATATAATAATTTACGATTCGCTGTAACAAAAGAAAAATTTAAACTATATAAACAAAAATGTAACAATAAATCAGGGTGTTTAGCAATTCGGCCATTAAAAATCACCGGGATTTTGCCGCGTTTTTAAGTAAATTTCTCGGATAATTTTAAAGTCAAATAATATTTAATTATATCTAATAATGCATTAAAAAAACTTTTGTTTTCGAAAGATTTTTTTTATTCTTCTAAATAGTGTAAACAAAGAAATACCGTTTTTGAAAAGAAGTCAATTTTTTTAAATTTTTAAACAAAGAGTTAAAGAGTTGAAAAAAATTACAATTTTTTAAACAATATAAAAAATACCCTATCAATAAAAAATTTTCGAATTTAAAAAAAATTTTCTGCGTTTTTTCCGCTTTTTTTTTATTTAAAATGAATTCCTTGGTTTTTTTCGAATTTCCGGGTCGATAGACACAAAAACTGTTTTCATTTGTATATTATTAATATTAAAATTAAAAAAGTTTTTAAATTACCTGTAATTTTTTGTATATTTTAGGGAGAAGAATATATTTCAGTGTCAAAAAAAATTGTTCCAAAGAAAATTTTCAAAGCAATAATTGCTTGTTGTAGACAAAAATGTTTTGAACAATATCCAGTAAAATAACAAGAAAGATTATTTGAAACGTTGTAACGTATTTTTCTTGATTCTAAAATTACTCTTAAACTTGATTTTTAAACTTTATTATAACAAATGACAAATAATTCTAATTATCAAAATTACTAACTTGGACGAAATTGGATTCAAATTTTAATGCAAAGTAACTCGATTCTGAAAAATCAAATAACAAAATAAACAAAACGTTACTGTGCGACTTAACTTTTTATTCTTATGGACGATCCCCGGTATGGAAGGGCGCCAGACAACTTTTGTATCGCCGGTATTGTCAACCGGACTAAACTATAATCTAAATCTCAAATAAACAAATCTCAAACTTATAAATAATAACATATTAATTAAGATCGACCAATAAGAATTATTTATTAAGTCTTCTGCACGTGCCGGTGCTACTCAGTTATGCAGGTCGTGGAGAGAGGGATGGGTTTTTATAATAAGAGAGTTCATTATAACAATAAATAATTCATAAACAAAAATTAGAAATAAAAGAAATGTTACATTTTATTAAATAATTCATTGACATTAATTAATTTCCCTATGACAATTTAAATCGCTCTTACGAAATTTTATTTATTATTTTATAGCAATGGTAATAACCATTTAATCGAATAATGAAGATTCTTACAAAAACAATTATATAAAAATTAACTTACAGTTATGTTGCGTGATGCTGGTTGGACCCATGGTAGAAAAACGAGTTATTGCAAATAGTTTGAAGTAAATTGAACTTATTGTTGTTAAACCTTAATAATGTTTTATTAGAATTAATTTAAAATTTATTAATGTGACTGTAACCACAACCGACTGTAACTTAAAACACATGACCGAAAACTATTGAAACTTAAACATGTTGACTCGATGGGGGTTGGATAGCAAGAGAGTGTTTTTAAAAACTAAAATTCTCAAATCACTCTAAATTGACACTAGATGACGCAACGATTTTCTTTAAATTAAACCAATCAAAACCTTTTCCTACCTTACTTCTCCCAGAATTCTGAGTTACTAATACTACTAAGTGACTTTTCCAATACCCAAGCCCGCGATAACTTGAATATTGGAATCTGTCATACCGGAAATTCGACAAAGCCTGCCACTCTAAAACTAACTTAAACTAAATTAATGCAGAATTCCTTAAAAATGGAGCGCCTGTATTTCAACTGGACTTGTGTCAAGTATAGGAAATTCTCAAATGCAGTAAACATCAAATTTTTATTTATAGCGAAACTCAAAAACAGAATGATTCAAAATTTTAAATGCGAGTGGTGCAATTGTGACGTCAATCACAAAAAATAACGTCACAACGTATTGGAATTTAAACGATTACGGTAAACAGACTGTCTTTTTGAGTACTATAATGAAATACATAGATTTTGAACAAGGGAATCCAACAAATCGACAACGATTAATAAATTGGGTTTACTTTATTCCACTCGATGATAAGGATATTGCCGTCTGCAAAAAATTTATTTGTGAACTTTT